GGGTGGAGTTTGAATGAGGTTTTTATAGCTTCACAGTGAGTTTTCGGTAAATGGGAAACAATACAATCAGTTTTTGGCAGAAATCAGAACAATGGCGACAATGGGGAGTTACAGAATCACATAGCAGCAATTAAGCAAGAAGCAGAAGCAGATATACAGAAGCAGATTTTAGCAGTAAGTTTTATCTTTTAATTTACACCTTCTAAGCAATCTTTTGCCCATTACGTCTTTGGTAAGCTTTTTCCATTTTCTGAGGGAATTCTCTGAGGCAGTTACTAGACATTTGAATGGGCTAGAGCTTAGGAGAGCTAAGCCTATCATGCATACCCTGAGACAGCTGATCATGCCTATCTGGAGCCTAGAGGAGTCATGCCTATCCTGAATGCCCTGAGAAAGCTGATAGGTATCTCTATTATGTCAGGATCCTGGGGAGTCAGGTACAACACTGTTGTACCACAACTACCAAATTCCTTTGCTAGCTTGTCTGCTTACTGAAGCTGCCTGACAGACTGCCTGCACCCCACAGTCCTCAGCCTGCTTTCTCATCCACGCTGTTCATTTGTCCACTCGCCATGCTGTGTTTCTTCACTTGATGGTGGTGGCGGTGGCAGCAGTGGCTCTTGTTCTTTTGCCCTGGCCAGCCCTGCAGACAAGGGGCTGCAGTGCCAGGCTGGCTGAGCACAGAATCTGCATGCAATGGTTGAAGTTGTGTGTGTTTTTACTGATGCTTTGCGTAGCCATGACCTGAGTCAATCGGGGTGTGGTGGTGGGGCAATGAGGGCACAGGAGCAATACAAAGAGCCTTTGCCTTCGCTGGTTGTGTTCTTCCCCTCAACAGCAGTGTCTGATTTATTCAGTATGTTTAAAAACCATTTGCTTTTAAAATGGGGCATTGTGAGACTTGCAGACAGAATCATTGCAATTCTGTTCACCAGCAGATTGGCTGGAATGGCACCGGGTAGGATGCAGCAGGCTAAGGTGCGGACAGGCACCCTTAGCAACTGCCTGTCCATGCTGCACACTGACATACGGACTACATAGTGCTAAGGAGTTTCCCTTCTTCTCATTTTGGTTGCTTCCTCCGAAGTTGCTATTTGTCCTCTGGGGAAAATCATACAGTACTTTTATGACTGCTGCATGGTTTCCTGTGCAGGAAATATAGCAGCTTGGGTGGGCGATTTAAACCAGGAAAATGGAAGGGGGAAAGTGGTAAACAGTCTTGAACTTGGAAGAGCTGAATGGAGCTTTCATGGACTGGATATTCTGGAGGGCTTTCATTCATAGGGTTGCCATAGGTTGAAGATGACTTGATAGCGTGTAACAACAGCCCTGACTACAGATCCCCTGCATTTCTTCTAGTTGCAGCTTTATCCTGTCTATTTTCAGTTCAAGGTCAATTACTTTATGTGTCTGAGGGAGGCAGTTTACTCTCTACTGGGAAAAATAGTGACTTCAGTGAGACTCTACTGGTATATTTAATTACTTCCCTATTTGTGTTTTTGGTCTGTGATTCAATCTGCAGCTTGCCATCTTGAAGATGTCAGCTCTAACAGTAATTTTATGTGACCCTTTCCTGTGAGTTGGAAGGGGCTTAGAAGACCATCAGGTCCAACCCCCGGTTCAGTGCAGGACTCCAAGTTAAACCATCCCTCTCAGTGTCCAGTTGCATCTTGAATGCTGATAGTGTGGAAGAGCTCACAACCTTCTTAGGTCATTCGTTCCATTGCCCTACTGCTCTAACAGGCAGGAAGTTCTTCCTGATATCAGCCAGAATTGGGTTTCCAGTAACTTGAGCCTGTTATTCCATGTCCAGCACTCTGTGATGATTGAGAAGAGATCCTGATCTTCCTCTT